GATTACTACGTGAGGTAAATGAAATTGAAAGTATTACGGTTTTAACATCATGGTGAAGAATTTGTAATGAAAAATTGTTACATCTTACGTTTTTTTTAGAGAATTTTTTTACTTCCAATCAACTGATAATATCGGATTGAACATTCACTCAATTCTTATTTATAAGGGGTTAATGTATCCATAAGAAATGTTATTGTGTCAAAAAAGTAAGACAGATATTCGTTCTTGTGAAAAGTTCCAAAGTTCATGGATTTATCATTCAAGACTTTGAAAGATTCATTGGATTGATATTAAAATAAAAGAATAAAAAGAGAAAAGTAAAACTGTAAAGAGATCTGAATACACAAAGCAAAATATTAACACGATAATGGAGAAATAAAAGAAAAGAGGGAGAAGTATTCTATCCGAAACTTTGTGCTCAATATATTCAGAATTCTAGAGGGATAATAGGTTAAAGGTCATTGTCAACTGTTCTCTTTTTATATCGATTGTTTTAAGATAAAAACAAATGATTTTCTCCTTCACTTCCCATCGCAATCTTACTTTATCTTACTTCCCATCTTTCTCTTTCTTACTATAATATTCTCAAAGTCTATTTTGGCAACAAATGGTCCAAATTACGTTCTAAATATCATGAAGTGTCAGCTTGTAGCGACCTCATCCATGGCGAAGTAGAGCAAAGAGAAGAAAGGAAAAAAAGTTCTATCCAATAGAAAAGGGAATCATTTATATTCCAGGATGAACAATGAAGAAAAATAGGATGACAAAAAAGGGACACGAATCACATGTTCCCTCATCATCATCATCACCATCATCCACCACCTCCCAACATGTTCATCACACTCTCCATCCTCAATCTCTCACCTTTCATTTGACTCTTTCTCCTCATCCTCATCTCTCACTTTCTTTCTCTCTCTCTCTCTCTCTTTCTCTCAGCAAAAATAATCTTTATTACATTTTCTTACACTTGTTACTGAAACAGTTACTAAATCAACTTTAATGATTGGCAGCTTCATATAGTAAAACTTACACTGTTTTTATATTGTTGCAACTCTCATGATAAAAACTTTGCTCCTTCAATTCTCTCTCTCTCTCTCTCTCCATCATCCACCCTGCCATCTTCCATAATCACTACCTCACTCTCGTTACATTTCCGTCTCAAGTTTTCCCTTTTATTAATATACTTGTATTACTTATTGATGATGATTCTAATAATGACCAATATGATGATGATAAGAATCAAAATTTAGCTTGTTATATATCATCTTAAATTTCTGATATGAAATTTGATATTGATCAACATCCATATTTGTGTAACAATAATATTTATGTTTACCTATCTTTCCATTAATAACATTTATTACTACTGACAATACAATCATTAAGATGATGATTTTTTAATCTTTTTTACTTTACTGTTACTCTTGAAAATCAATTGCAACAAAACAGAATCAGTAACCATTGATTACAAGTTAATCAATGAGCTTATTATCAATTGATCATCATTTTAGATCCAATTACTATTGTTAATACTTGAAAGTTTCACTACAACATGAGAGCAAGAAAAGTACAAACAATCAAACACAATTACATTACACCATTTGATTAGATGATGTAAACAATAAAATGAATTTCTCAACAATTAAAACGATTAGTTTATTATTGAAGATTTAACAATTGAAAGATAATTTCAATTTTATACAAAGTAAATGTTTCGCTTTGTTATTATATTCATCATGTAAATTAATGCTCTTTCCACCATGAAATTTGCTTCAAAATACAATAACAGTTTCCATAACAATATTGATTTTAATATCTTGAAATTATCATGAGTGGGAAATAAAGTTCTGACAAAGTTTATGGAAAGTAAAAGTTGATTTAACTGTTAAAAATATAAAAGATCCGAGTAAATCTTGAACCTGAAATGAATGACATGCAATTTTTATCAACTCAATTCATTTTCTGGTCTTCATCTTTACCATGGTTTTCCTGGTGATATTGACATTTATTCAGTAAATATAACAAGTCTTAGACTCATCATAATCATCAGGAGGTTCACCCCTGATCCCTCATGAGATTTACCTTTGAAATCGTTTTTTTTTGTTCTACCCTGCAAACAATACACTTTGCACTTTACTTTTCCCATTTCTCTCTTTCTTTCTCCTCCTTCATCATCATGTATTTATTATCATGACAATGATGATGAGCATCATTATCATTTTTGCAAAGAAAACCATAAACCTCAATTGGATTATTACTGTTGATTGTTCAACTTGCAAGTTGCAAATATTTTAAGGTAAATAGATTACATTTAATTAGCAATAGACAGAAAAAAAAATCAAACTCACAATTTATCATAAAATTGTAATCAGTAATTAAGGGTAGGCATCATACTTATGATACAATTTGATTTATCAAGTGTTCAAGTTGCAATCGTATCATTTATTGATTACTAACATGATTGAATCACGATGATGTTTGTGATAATCTTGTTGAAGATATTTTTATCTTCATAATTTGCCTTTGATTCTAATTGATTATCATCCTTTATCTTTATCTCTCTCTCTCTCTCTCTCTTATACAATTTCTCCATATACTTTGATATGATTTCATTTTCTTTCCATTGATTTTCCATTATCAGTCTTATCATAATGATCCCACCATAGAAATTGATGGAAAATCATTTATGGGTATTAATCTAATAGTATTAGTTCTTGAGGCTACTTTCTCTTTTTTTCTCCTTCTTCCAAAGTTTTACTTTGTAGCTTTTTTTCTTCCACATCCTCTTCCTCTTTATCCTTCCTCTTGTTTCTGAACATCATCATCATCATCATGTTCATTATATTAAAAACTCCCCTGAGAGACAAGTAAAAACAATACAAATACAAGAAAAGAGGAAGTTTAGTAGGTAAAAAGAAAAGATGAAAATGAATGTAATGATTATCATGATGATAATAACCATCATCATCATCAAAGTCTAAAGGGATGAGATTACATTGGTAAGATTATCTTAAGAGAAAGTGGATTAGTGGAAATGTGAATCAAATCAGATAAACTAACAAAAGTCATTCCAATAGTTGGTCATCAGTAAATGTCCAGGAAAAAAAGAGTGACCATTAATCACTGTGAGATGTTAATTTACTTGATTAAATCGTCAATTCTCAGTTAAATTCAGCCATCATCTTCTCATGAAAACTAAAAAAGATAAATAATAAATCAACACAGGTCATTTCATCAACCTTCTCAACCTTGTCAATAACTCTTTTGTTTTTCGGTATTAAGACCTCAGATTGATTCTAACCGTCGAATGACCTTATAAAAACAGAATGATTGACATAACGTTGATATTGAAGTTCAATTATACTGGCCAACCCTGTTTTCTGATCAATCAAAATCGCGTACGAGTTAAACACCAACATCAACTAGAATTCACTCTAGAGACAAATAAAAAGTGTAAGTCTTATGTCTCAAGGGGTTGCTTTCTGACGTCAAGTCAAGTTCTCGTGTTAGACTTTTACTAGATAATACAATCTATTACTTTGTTTAAATCTTTAATTTAATTACCTTAATCTTTCATTTTTTTGATTGTAAAACAATGTAAAAATATTTGATTAGTACTTTGTGCTTTATTTATCTTCACAACAAATGAGAAAGGAGATTTCCAATAAGTTTAAAAGGGCTAAAATGGACAATCAGAAATAAGAAAAATTATATCCATAAATTGATTTAACAAATTGCGTTAATCAAAAGTGATACTAGCGGAATTACATATCCACATTTATTGGAACTTGGTGTATTACCATGTAAACCTCATCTTATTTATTTCTGGTAAACTGGGTCTTACAGTGAATAAAAAGAGTAAAAGTTCAGATGATCAGGAAAATTATGATGGAAAAATCAAGGGCGTGCAAAGGACTAAATATTAGTAATCATCTTTGCATATTATTCAGTTTCTTTCTATTTTTTTCCAAAAAAAGAGATGTTGATGAATGAAGAGCGAGGAGAAAGTAAAAATTATGATTATCTTCATCATCATGAGGAGATCGATAGTAAATAGACTGTAAAATGTTTCATTTGATTCATTGTATTTCTCTCTCTCTCTCTCTCTCTTTTTCTTTTCATCTTCTATTGAATCAAATGGTATCATCATCATTTCCAGTTGATAGCTACCTCATTTACCATGATATTATTTCCAATTCTGGTTTTCTACCTGAATATACATAATGGTGAAGTTTCATGAATGAAATAAAATGACAACTTCAATTCATTGAGATTTTTCTCAATATTATTTCTTTGTAATCAATTGGTTTCCGGTTTAAAGTAAAAAGAAAATGAAATCTAGGAAATCAATTCAGGAAATTGTTCCTCATGATGTATTATATACTTTTATGTGCTTAGGTGTTTACATTTGAAGGTGTTCGGTTAAATTCATGTTGTTCATACACCATTGATACATATGATTTGAGATTCCATGGGATTGAATGAAAAAGTTTCATGGGAAAAAGACAATGAAACAAGATGTTATAAAGTGTCTTAATGTCACATGAATTCAATTGATTGTGATGAATGATTAACCTAAAATACTCGATCAAATGTCCAATCACGAATGATTAATATCAATACGTAAATCTCAGGTTATTCGATTGATTTCCCATCAATTCGACGCACCAAAATATGTCTATGTCTATGTAATATTACGATTGAAATTTTTTCAATCGTAAAAAGTTCCATAGAGAGATAAATAAATTACAGGTAAAAGGTTAGATTAAATTTTTTCTTTCTTACCTTTGCCTTGTTATTTTCTTATCTTTCTATGGAACTTTTTAAAGTAAACATCCTTTAGTAAACCAATTGATTGATTGTCATTCGATTAATTATCATAGTCAATGAATTATTAAGATATTATCTAAATAACTCAAGAGAGGACGACCCTAAAGTTGACGATTACTGAACTAGCACTTGTAAGTGAATAGATGTAGAAACATTTGCATAGATTAGTTTGTGAATTGTTTCGGTTTGTTTTATTAATAATTTGCATAATAACAACGGTATCTCGTGCGATCGGTGCCTGAAATGAGTATGCTGAATGTTAATTACCAATAGAGGTTACAACTAAATTGACCATGAAAATATTAATAGTTTTGGCTGCAGTAAAGACAAAAACATTTGATTACATTAAAGTTGTGAATATGACAGCTGATGATTGCATTTATGCTTAACTGACTTTGGACAGAAAGATTTCGCTTTTTAGTAATCAAGTTAATAAATAATTAAGAAAATAGACATTGAAACAATTAACGCAATAAAAAATTTTCACGCTGTTAAGGGTTAAGATTATATAAAAAGTTGGGATACAATTTATCTACCGAGTCCATAACCAACTCCTCCACCGATTCCTTTAACTCCAGTAGCTCCTGCAGCACCGGCGGCTTTCTTAAATCCACTTGCTCCTCCTGCTCCAGCCTTGGCTCCAGTTGCACCTTTAGCTCCAGCAGCATAGCCTTTACCACCTCCAACTTTTCCTCCCTTGTACCCAACTGCTCCTGAAGCTCCAGCGTAACCTCCTTTGGCGGCTTTACCTCCGACAGCACCTCCAGCAGCACCATAACCAGCGGCTTTACCGAATTTGAATCCTTGGCTCATTCCGAATTTCTTGACAAGACCCATTTTCTTGTTGTATCCAGCACCACCGGCTTTAGCGAATCCTCCTTTCTTTCCATACTTTTTACCAAAAGCTCCAGACGCGAATCCACCCTTTTTAGAGGCTCCTTTAGCACCACCAGCAGCTCCAGCGGCTCCATAAGCAGCACCACCTTTAGCACCTTTAGCTCCAGCAGCATAACCAGCCTTACCAGCTCCACCAGCCTTATATCCACTAGCTCCACTACCAGCTGCACCTTTCTTAAAAGCAGCAAGACCTGAACCTCCACCACCAGCAACCGCTGATTCGGCTGTTTCTAAATCGGCTGAAATATCTCGTCTTTCTCTTTCTAAAATAGATTCTTCTTGTTGGCCATCGAACGAATCTTCGAACTCTTCTTCTTCCTCAGCTCGAACCAACGAAACACAGAGAACAAGAGATGAAACGAAAATGAAGAAAAACTAAAAGGACGAAAAGAAATAGAAAAATATTAATACAATAAGAGAAAATAATACAATTGAAATTTCTAAACACAAAACAAATTATCAATTAAAGAAAATAAACTAAAATAATATTTACCAATTGTTTGTTCATTTTGATGAATTTGATTTGGTCGATTGAAATCTAAACGCAGAAACCACTTTTAAAAAGAACTTAGTTAATAGTTTTTAGTTTGATGTTTGTTGTTTGAATCTCGAACTCAATTTGTATCTATTTCAATTTTTTCACTCTTTTTATACCGAGAAAACTCCTTCAGGACGAATCGAGGGAAACGAACCCAATCATACATTTTATCCTTGATGAATTCTTGTTAATAGTATTTTCACAGATTATTGTCTGATTGCATTAAACGGATAACGAAAAAAACAACAGTGAATTTTGACTTGATATTCATTTTCGTATTAATTAAATGCGTGATTAGGTTTGCGGCGATCGCAACATTGAGATATGAACTCTTATTGAGCTCTGGAATTTCCTTAGTGATCATAAATCACTAAGCCGATTCATCCTTCAGTCTCCAGTTTCTGACTGTACTTCCAAAAACCGATAGTAGGTCGGACTTTGGACGAAGAGTTCGTTAACAATATAAATACAGAAACAAAAAGTTTCAAAGCAAAGTGATTACAAGCGTAAAACAATCAACAACAATCAACGTTCTTTGTGTTTTTCCTTCGTAAGAATTTTCAAGCAATCAAATTAAACAAAATGAACAAAAAATTGGTAAGCTTATTGTTTGTGTATTGATAATTTGTTTCCAGTTCACAAATTCAATTGGGTTATTTTTTCTAATAACGAATATTTTTCTTTTCTTTTCGTCTTTCTAGTTATTCCTCATTTTCGTTTCATCTCTTGTAATAATTAATCGTTGATTAGATGGCAAGAAAGGTATTTTCTGGGTCGCCTACTATTCAGACCAAACCACTGTATTGGCCAGTTGCATACTAAAAGCTAATGATTTTTCTGATGTTAGTTGATGAGATAATTTCATGATTCAAATTAAATTTCATGGCATACACTAACGACTCTTATTGTTATCCTTTATTACAGTTAAGGCTTGGTTCGTTTCCCGAGTAAAAATGTCAAAGGCTCCCAAGGAAGTTGCGAAAATTGCCCAAAAATATACTAGTAAAATTTTCATCATGACGTGTCAAGATGAATTCTATTATTAGATTATTAAAATTCTTTAATTGATTTATCCTTCTCTACACATATACAGGTCGCTAGCAAATTCATTTGACCATTTTTGACATTAATTTACTCTGATCAATCTATTCATAAAATTATTAATTAAGTACCAATTTTATTGGAAATTTATTCAAAAATTTAGATCCAAAAATTATTTTTTATTTGGTTCATTAGTTTGGCCACAATTCGAATTTGAACAAAAAAGTAAAATTCGAATTGTTTTAAGCAAAATTTTTTTTATCTCTAATAAAATTCGTATGAATCATAGCAATTTACTGATTTTTGGTCAGAATATAGAAATTGGCAAAATTTTTAAAAAATTTTTTATTTGAAAGTTTTATCTCATTTAGTTTTCGTTTTTGATTTTCCATAAAGAGCCGATTTTCATGAAATTCTTGAATAGGAATCAATTTTCATGTAAAAATCTCCATAGACAATGTCTCTTCAATGGTAAATGATTTTTTGATTAAATTTAAATAAAATTTGAACTTGATCGTTTTAATTGTTCAAATTTATCCAATAGTACTCGAAAATCCAAAGAACATTTTGTTTAAATTTTAATTCGAAAGTTCAATATTCATCGAAAAATGGCCTGAATAAAAGATCGAAACAAAAATTCTATCACTTTAGATATAATTTAATTGTAATTAAACTAATCATCATAAAATGATCTTTTATGTATCATGTTAAAGCTTATTATCTAACCTCTCTAATTATACTAAATTTATTAATCAAAAATCTAAAGTTTTCTAACAATCAAGCCAAACGTAAGCTCGAAAAAATTTTGGCCATTACTTAGTTGTTTACCTAATATATGGATTATCTGCTGTTATTATTGCTGAAAATCCATTAACATCAGAGTTTCTCTCGCAAGAGTGATACATACATGATGGTGGAACAGGTAAACATGCAAAATCTCAATCATTTCATTCATGTAACTCATTTCAAGAGTGAACCTGAATAATAGCAACTTGAAACAATTCAAAAGTGATTCTCGTAAAGTTATATAATAATGAACTGATTCTTCATGATGATTCATTCAGAATGAAACAAAAATAGCAAAAAAAAAGTCATGGTAAAAATCACGAAGCTTCAATGTTATCGTTATAAAGGATTGATTATTATTTTACCATGAGAATGAAATTTGGCAGGAAAATAAAAGGTTGAGAAAAGATTTAAATTCCAAAAAAAAAATGTTTCCACCCCAATGCTGATCATGATAATCTGTAGAATTTTTTTATTCTATTATTATATTAAATCCTGTGGTTGACACAAATACTAATACCAGTAGCAATACAGTTTTCTCATTTGCATAATACTTTAAATCACAATCCAATTAAATTAATAAACCTACAATCAAGATTTTCCAATTTTGATGGAAACAATTTTCATCACAATTTTTAAATTAATAACAATGTTTCATTTTTTATGCCAATCAATTTGAGAAACAGAAAGACAATTCAACTTTTTGAAATTCTGTTCAAATTTTACTCAGATTCTTCATGGTAATTACAATAAGTAAGAAATAAGATTGACATTGAAATAGTCAAGAGAGAAAAGGAGCAAAAATAAATATCATAATGATTGTTACCTTAACAATCAAGATGCAATAACAATAATGAGGATGCGAATGAGGATGATGATGATGCTGTTGATTCTTGAAGAGGTTATCAGGGCAATAAAAAGCTCCAAATATCAGCAATCAAAAAATTACTCCTGTCAACTGCATCTGTCGGGATTACTGACTGATTCAACTTTTTGATTTCCCCAACAACTACTAACAAGAAACAAACAATCAAAGTCTACAATTCATAATTGGCAGAAACTTTTATCTTCATCAACAATCAATGATAAGTAGTGAGCCATTTTTGTCATTCTGGATAATAATACTTGTTGTATTGAGATAAATTCATTGTTGAGTTGATGAACATTAAAAGCCAATTAAGTTTACAACCTTTTCCCTCTTGAAAAATATGCTTCACTACGAGTATAATATGATGATAATGAAAATCTTTCACAATAAGAAAAACAAGAAAATCTAATCCAAATCCATTTACATCGCAGTCAAATTGCACTCGAAATTGGCCTCAACTTTTTAAATGTTAATTTCTCCTGAGAGATCGTCTTAGCCCGGATAGCTCAGTCGGTAGAGCGTTAGGCTTTTAACCTAACGGTCCAGGGTTCGAGCCCCTGTCCGGGCGTAAGTAACTCTTTTTGTCTTCGATTCATCTGAATGGAAAAACTTTTTTTTCTTTAAAAAGTAATGAATGAAAATGGAAAAGCGCCAAGTTTGAAAATTCGCGAATAAATTGTGAATATTTCATGTTATCGAAAAGAAAAGTTTTCTTAGTATTTTCTCGTTTATGTTAATCATATTACAAGTTGTTCTTAAATGTTTACAATTTGTTTTCTTTTTAAAATTCGATTAACTCATTTCGCTTCTAAGGAAACGAAAAGAGAGAAAGTTTTTCGTTTCGTTTCGAAACTCGAAAAAAAGTTTTCTTTTCATATTCGATAACTCTTTTTTTCTCATTACCGTGTTTGATTTATTTTCTTATAAATAGTTACAAATATTTCTCGAAATATGAGCCAGAAGAGGCTAAAACAATCGGATGATATTGACAATGAACAGTTACATTTGATGATGGTTGTTGTTGTTGTTTGTTAATTAAGTCTGATCTTAAATTATCACGATTACCGTTATTATGGTTAATTGTTGATGAAGATGATAAAGATGACGATCTACTATGATTACTATTAACATCATTAACCAAATCACTGGTTGATCCTGATGAACCATTATTATTGATAATGATATGATGTTGTTGTTGTTGATAGTGTAAACGATTAGAAGCATTTAATAAATTACCATTTGAATAATTAGTTGATTGTTGTGAAAAAGTTGATGAACTTGATTTACCCGTTGAATTTGCTATCAAATTATCACTACCACAACCATTGATTAATGTTGATTGTGGTAAAGATGATTGACTGTTAAGTATATTTTGATTAGCAAGAGAGTTTGATAGATGACGATGATGATGATTAAAAGATGATGAAGATGATGAGGCTGAATTGGTTGATGAATTTAAATGATTTGTCCGTAAATGAGGAACATGATGACCTTTACCTTCAATGGTCAAGGGTTTACCATAACTGGTATTACCATTATTGATATTATTACTTCGAGTAGTTGAAGATGATGATGATAGACGATGACCACTACCACCGCCATTGGTGTTCAATGAAACAGCGGAGAGATTCAATTTCTTACCATTGACCACTCCACCAGCCACTCTACCGGTTCCTCGTTTATTGTTCATCAGATTAATTGATTTGGCATTTGATGTCGGCGGGCAACCTAAAAGTGATGTATTCTCACTTGACCCTCGAAATGATTTCATCAGAGTCGTGGTTGCATAAGGTTCAGTTGATGGTGATGAATAATCACGTTTTCCAAAAGTTCTTAATGTCCTTTCCTCTACTTCAGCGTAATCTGATTCCATACAGCCATCATCATCTTCATCTATTCCAACTCCGGCATCTTCATCACTCTCATCTCCATCCATAGTTTCATTATAATGGTGATGATTATGATGATGCTGATGAGAATTAATTGTTTGATCAGATGATGTTTGGACAGAATAATCTTGACCTACTGGTTGAGGTGAAAGGTGTTGATTTGGTTGGACATTGGTAGAGGAAGATGATGATGTTGATTGTTGTTGTTGCTGTTGTAACGATGAAGTGGCCGAGGTAAATGTTGATAACTTTTTATCTGATAACCAATAACCTGGATTACCAATTGTTGATTGTGCTAAGACTCCCCTGTTTCCACCATTGGGCCCAACACCACCACCACCACCACCTCCATTTGATTTGGCAAATTTAGTATCGGAAAGTTCATCACACTTATTGTTGAGCTGAACTGTTATGTAGGCACCCATACCTTTGTTCCAGTTGATGTGTCGACGTGCAAAAAGGATTAAGATTATAAAGGATAAGACAAAAAGTGCCAAAATCGCACTGAAAATGAATATTGGCTCTTTGGTTATATTACTTGGAGTCAATATGGTTGTATCTTTGAGTAGTAACTCGGACAATGATGATGAAGGTGATGATGAGGATGATGATGAAGATAATGAATTTAAAGGTGATAATGGTGATAAAGATGATGAAGGAGATAATCCATTTGGTATTCTCCAATTGTAACTGTAACTTGTAACCATATGAAGTGGTATTGGCTCAGTAAATGAACCTAAACCCGATAAAGTTAAGGCAGCAACAGTAATCTCATATGTTTCACCATAAATGAGATTATTTAAAATAAGGTCAGTTTGATATGGACTTGATGTGTTGAAATGTGAACAAAATCTGTGATCTGTTGACATTAAACGGATAAAATAGGCTTTAGGTTCACCTTTCCATTGGTCAGGTGATAATGGTGACCAGGATAACGTTGTTGAGGTCTCATTGATCACAGCGAGTCTCAAATTTTCAGGTGAATGGGTTGGCACTTGATCACCTTTACCAATAAAGTCACTTGGTATACCTAATTGATTATCAAGATGAAACAAAATTCAATAAAATAAAATAAATGAATATGCAAATTATATTCCAAATTTAATTGTATATACTTACAGTCAACTGAAAGTGATGCGGATGATGATATGTGTCCACCTTGATTAACAGCCTCGCAAATATAAACCCCACTGTCCGAGGGTTTGACCTCTCGAATCCTTAAAGTTTTATCATCCTTAATTTGAATTCTAATCATAAATTTAAACAACAATCATTAATAAATTAGAATCAACTTTTTTTTTCTCAATCATTAAAATCTAATGATAATCACACACATCTTGCTAATTATGATGATGATGATACATTGTAAAGTTATCAACAATTAATCATAAACCCAAACACCATTAACATTTATTCAGTCCAATGAATTTCAATAACAATTGATTATCACATTGCACAATTAACTACATTCATCTTATCCAACAATTTAAATCAACTGTCAATTGTAAATAATGGTTAATAATAATAGATATTTATGCTAAAAAAATTAGATAATATAAAGTTTGATATGAATAAATCATTGGAATTACAATTTACAATTATAATCAATGGTAATGATCAAACTAACAACTAAAAGTAATACAATCAATAAATCACACTGACCTTTTATGTGCGTTATTAAAAACTGGATTAAATTTGATTGTTAAATCTGACAATACATTATGGAAACTGTATCAACACAGATAAGGTTTAACAAGTAAATCACTGGCAATTTAAATTGTGCTCTAGGGTTAATTCAACAATCAAATGATGATAAAAATAAATTGCAATTGACTTTATTGTCATCTAACTGTATTTAACATTAAATGAAGCTTAACAATATTACAATGATCAATATGATGATTACCATGATAATCAATGAGACAACAATTGATTATAACAATTGGACTTGATTAAAATTCACAACGAAACAAAATTACAATTGTAAATTTTTCACTATATTAATAATATGAGTTAATAATCAATAGTTGACAATGATAATTAGGTTAACATTGTTTACACATTGAGAATCGCAATACATTTGATGGTTAATTTTGTGTATTTAATTTTGTTCCCCTTCAAATTATAATTTGATCAAATAAAATGGCTAATTGTTAGTTAATAATTATTGAAAATGGCAATTAACTTTTCCATCAAATTGTTTGACTAATTGCTAAATGACACTACATTTATTACTAACTGTTTATTTGTCTGTTGATACAATTTCCAGTCCAGTTGAAGGAGATGAGCAAATATAATAATACAACTAATTGTGACTCTCTGTTAATCTCTGTTGCTTTTTTGTATTTAAACTGAGATACAGGGTGTGTAAAGTTCAGGGACATTATAATATTGAAATAGTTGATGATGACATTGATAAAAACAGTAAAAGTTAATACATCAAACTGTATGTGATATTAATCCATGGACAGACATGATTATTATGGTGTTTGAAAGCTTTCAACAAATTGAGCGTCAACAATAAGGCAACATCATTGACAGAGCGGTCAGTTATCCTCATCATTATCAACAAATAAGATGCAGAGAGTGAGAGGATGATGATGATGATGGCAAGGTTGAGAGAGAGAGAGAGAGAGAGGAAGATGATTGCAAATTGATCCTCAGGAGAGATACATTTTGCAATAGAGACGCAAAGATGATGTTCATTGACTATTACAAGGCAATTATTTTTTTTTTCTTCTTCTTCTTATATACTCAAAGAATGAGAAAATACGAGGATAAAGATGATGGAGATAAGAAGATGAGATATATACACACATTTGGAAGACAAGTGAGAAAGGGAGAGAATGTAAAAAAAAAGATGGAAAACCTCAAAAGTTGATGGAGACAGAATTTAGTCAACTGTCAATCAAGGAATGGAAATCACACCATCAGAAGCCAGTTAAGTTTCTATTTCCCTTGTTACTTTCTTTTCACTTTAAAAATCTTTTAGTTTTCCTCATCCCCACAAGAGAAAAATAGGTAATTTCAAAGTCAATCTTATCATCATCTCCCATTTGATTTACTTTTATCCATCACCATCATCATCTTCTTCATCTTCATCTTCATCATTGTGCTCAAATCAAAGTAACCATAATAATTGGATAGAAAGTGTGAAAGTTACACTCACCTTCCTATGGCAATTTTACCATCTTTTAGTCCATGTGATATAAGGAGCAGGTTCACCACCCACTTTACATGAGAATTCAATTGTCTCCCCTGATAAAGCTGATACATTTTCCGGATTCCGTATGAAATAAGGTTTCACTATTATTATCCCATGAAAATGAAAATGATGATGATAACCATGAGATTAATGTATTAATCATTTCCGGAGATTAACATATTATATATTTTTATATCCATTGGGTTAGGTTTATAATCCATGAGGTAATTAGAGATTTGATAACCATAGATAATGAAGATGGTGGGTTATTATATGTATGTAATTAAGTAAGAATGATTAAAGAGGAAGAGGAAGAAGAGGATTAAGTAGGTGGAGGAAATAAAACAAGAGAATGAGATGATCAACATTAGAATCAAATTGAAATTAATATCATACAATTAAACAAGATTAAGGTTAATTGGTTTATCTATTTTCTCTTAATAATTAACTATCTTTCTCTCTCTCTCTTTCAGTTGAACAATTTACTGTAAATGAATTAAATTAAGATGTAAAAACTAAATTAACTGTTAGTTTTACACCATTACAATCAATAAATCAATAAGTTAAACTGGTAAAGTAACTTTTTCTCATTTTTGTTAACAATTAATAGATTGAAATATCTAATCGATTGACAATTTAGATTAGATAATGATGATGATTAAGAAACAATAAGTTGACTGAGGTGGATGAGAGGAAAAGGAGAAAAATTAAATTCTTTTGTCATATTTACCTGAGACCTCTAATATTGCCGGAGGCGATTCCTTGGTTCCAATGAGATTCTCAGCGATACAAGTATATCTTCCCGCATCATGTGGCCTTACATCGTTAATACGTAAACTGCCACCGGGTATCAGTTTAATCCGATTGGACGGTAGACTAACTGGACGTCCATCTTTAGCCCAGTAAACTTTAGGCTCTGGATAACCTCGAGGTGGAACACAATCAAGAGTAACTCGATCTCCTGAGACAATGGCCTGGCTTTTAGGTAAAGTTTTAAATTCTTCACGTAAAACTGGAGTAAATAATAGAGAAAAGAAAATAATGAATGAATTTGAAGAAGAAGAAGAAGTAAAAGAATGAAATTTAATATGAATTGAAAGAGAAGAGAAAAAAATTTTTTTTTTGTTCTTTTCTTATTCTTTCGATAAACAAAACTGAAAAGGAGAAATATTTTATTCTCTACGTGAACAGAACTTTATATGAGCATTCTTATAGCAGCTTCCAAATCCCTTCAGGGTTTTCAGTGATTCTCTTTGTCTTTTCAACAAAGGTAAACATTGTCTTCAACTCTCTTTACTGACCTAATAATATTTTTCTTCACATCAAAGTCATAAGTCAAAGTTTACAATGGTCATCCAAATATACAACAAATAAAACAAGATCTTTAATATTGCATGTTTGCTAATAAGATAAAAAGGGAAAATTTCATGAAACAAACTGATACTCATGATAGTTTTGGATCTGAGTAAAGGAAAGCAATTGAATTAGCGTTCCCAATGAGCATTGGACATTAGGGTTCAGCTTATTTACTACCATCTAGGTAGTTTTGGTTCAATAGCTTCAATATATTACAAGATAGAAAGTAAAAGAGATGAGGAAAAATGAAGGGAGATGAGGTTGAGTATAATGCTGATTCTGGTGATTATCATGATCATCATCATCTTTTCCATGATCTTGTTCACGGTTAAAAAGGATGAGAAAAGCTTATTAGGTTTCTCTTTTACTCGTTCTATTTTTGTTTATATTGTACGTGATTCCATTTCATCGGTTGACATCAGAAATTCATTCTTTTCATGAGAAATATGATGATCATCATCATCTCCATGAAATAATAAAACCATTTCTGTGATCTTTACTCTCTCTCTCACTCTTATCTTTTTTCCTTCTCATCTCAATCTACTCGTATTCACTGATACATTTATCTTTCCTTCATCATCCTCACATAGCTGGTTGACATTAACACCATAGATTTTGACTACAAATCATCATTAATGTGCCTTAGGGAGAAAGGATTCTGATTGAAATTTTCATAAGCAGTTCATGTGACCATCAGAGTTTTAAGCTCAATTTTATCTACATGATGAGTATAACAACGATGACAAAAATGACAATGACCATAAAACAAATAGAGAAAATCAAACATGATGATTACTTTTCAAGATGAAATGTCTCATGTCATTATCATGAAGTAATTTTCATTATTTTCAGATAAATCTTTTGATCCATCCATTTAATCTCATACTAGTTGACTTACGAACCGAAAAACATAAGATCTAACCTCATACACTTTCATTATTTGTGAATTATCATCATAATCATCAAAGTTATCATCATGATCCAACGGTCAACAGTCATCTATGAACGAGAGTAACAATATTTATGAACTTTTTCTGTTCATTTGATATTAATGAAACTACAAGTAAATCTCCGGAAGATGATGAAGGATTATCGTTCAACTAGATAATATATTTACCGATAGAAAAGTCGTTGAGATTTTATTTTTTCCTCAAGGTATTAACATGAAGAGAAAGAGAGAGAGAGAGAGAGAGAGAGAGAATCTAAAATTCTGATAATCGATAATCTTATTGCAATTTTTACACCTTAAAGATCATTAATTTATCATTAACAGCAACTGTCTTCGAAACTGTTACTCTCTTACCGAGATCATCTAATGATCAAGAAATTGAAAGAATTATCATTTACCATAAAGAATCCATCATGTTATTACTTAAAATTCAGATTCTCATGTGAATATTACCAAAAGAAATTAGAAAAAAAGAAGAAGAGGAAAAAAATCTCAGAACTTTTTTTCCACCCAAATGATTCTCATCCCAAACAATTACCATAAACAAGATGATGAGTATTGTTTAACACTCGTCTCATAATATACACTTGAAGATAAACATAAACATTAATGATAAGAGGAAATGATGATAATTTTTTGTTTTGCTTGAGAAAAGGAGATTAGCATATATTGAATACCCTCCTTCTGATAGCATTTTATTACTGAATAAAATTAAGCCCAATTCTGTGTATTCAGAAGCTCACAAAGTAGGTAAACAAATAACCCACTGCTACTCAAAGGTGTGAAAGTAAAGGCTATTGATTGAATAAGTTTACTCACAAATATGATAATAAAAAAACTGATTCTATGAGATTATTGTTGTTATTCATTGAGAAAAATTCAATAGGATATTTTTTTCAAGCAAAAAAAAATCGAGCGATGGACATTCAAAGGTGAAAATCACAGTTTGAGAGCATAAACTTTGCAGGAAGTCCGATGATAATTTATGCAAATGGAAACATGCAAAGGTTACCTGGGAATCTTCATCTCCTTTGTTGATTGTTATTCTATCAACTTTTTATTTGCTATCTCTTTGATAATAACAACAGAAAAGGTAAAAAGTGTTACAATATTATTGTAAAGATTGATTGGAGGCAATGGACAGCCTACTACTACTACTACTGGTCAGTTAGTAGCTGGGTGGTGATTGAATGTTAATATTATTATATTGATTTTATTTCCTTCAAGTGTCTCATTGGTCTTAACATATTACTACAATCTATTGATTGTGACTTGTAGTTTGAATCTGATATTAAAGGTTGAGATTGAAATGGTAACATCTTTGAAACTTTGATTCCTTTAATTGATTGGGTCATTCATGTAAATGACCATTGGGTTAAGAATGATTTTTGAGAGAGATTTGAAAAAATATTGATTAACATGTTTATCTAATAGTATTAGATAAGATCATCAGTCAAGTTAATTTCATGTAATCTGAACATTCTGATTGATATTATTATCTTTCTATGCATCTCTAATGATAACTAGCAATTAATTAACTCAATCACTTTGATTGTTAATCTAAGAGGTATTATTTTGTTTCTTTTTATTCCCTTTTGATTGTATTACTTGATTAAAGAGATTGTTGGGGAAAAAGTTGGAAAAACAATCAATTGGTCAATCTCTCAATGAATTGATGATAATGAATGAATGATATTGATAGATGATAAAATAATAGAGACTAATGATGATAAGATGATGATGATTATCATTATCAATCATTGCTCTTGGATTAGCATCATGTTCAAGGTGGGTAAGGTTAAATGAAAAGGTTGCATAGGTTAGGTAATATTATCATCATGAGACCACCACGTAAGTTTTAATGATAATAATTATGGTAATCAAGTTTTACTCAAATGAAATTGTAATTGTCCATTCATAATACTGGTCAGAAGTTTGCAAGTTGCTCACTTTTTTTTTATTAAGAAATAATAAAGAAAGGGAGGCAAAGGGCAACCGGAAAGGGAAAGGATGATGTGCATGGAAAGGAAAAGAAAACTGTGAAGACTCTTTTACGGAAACGGAAGCACATTATTACAATCGAATTTGAAGAAAAATTTTCAAACTTGATTACATTTTAAAAGGAAAAAGATGAAAGAATTGCTTTGTTTTTTGTTTCTTCGTCTCTCTTTCACTTTATTTTCAGTTTCGAAACTTTTTCGAAAAAGAAACAAAAGTTTGAACGTGTTGATGATGAGATGATGATGACAAGTTTCTCTAACATTAGATTACTGAGAAAATGATGACTGTGTTAATGACCATGTTGATGATGGAAAACAACATCACGTTAATCTTTAGACAAGAAATTTCAACGGGTTCTATTTAAAGATCAACTCTCATCAACTAATCCAATGAGATAATCTTATTCAGATTTCCATTGATCATGTTACTATATTTTCCCAGCATCAGTGACCTTCAAATGTTATTAGATTATAATATTATTCCAACACTTTATCAACATCATTTTCAAAGTTTTGAGGGTTGAATTATATTGTCAGAAACGAACACAAATCTTGACCAGAGAACCATTCAAGCGCTGAAAACCTCAAGGGTGAGGAAAATTTTACTGAAAAAAGGGACAAGCAAAAAATTAGCCCTGAAGCACAATCTGAGAATAAGCAAGTTCTTGAAATATGTCAGGTGAATTGATGCTCAATTTTCATCTGAAATTGAAACTTATCCCTGAAGAAAAAAGAGAAGCAAATATTGTACGAGGTCAGTCAATCAAATGGAAATAATTTCTACCATTTCTACTCAAGTAATTTCCAATCACTTGGATATACTAAACTCTCTTTCTTATTGAACTAACATTTAGTCACCACTGAGCGCGAAAAACACAAACCTCAGTTGAAGATACTCAGCATCTCCATCATTATCATTTTTATCCTCATCAGTTTTTTTTTCTGTTTTCAGTTACAAAAATTTCGTATACAATGAAAACTGAACTGGAGATCAAAAGAGTGAATTTGCAATTCTTGTGCTTTGCTTTTCAATATTTTCACATTTACTCATTTCTGTTATATATACACACTCACACACTTTTCTTATGAACAATTTTATCCTCAAGCTAAACGCTTGCAACTAATTGAACAACCTGGTTTCCAATGTATTATTGCAAATAGCATTAAAAGACATGGAAAAGCATATCCAACATGGATAAATGATAATACATGGTAATGTATATCAGGTTGTTTAGTTTTCTAGTTGTTTTTTGCAAAAAAAAACAAAGTTTCAGCAGAAATGTTTTGCTTGAAAGGAATCAGCAAAACGATTTGATTAGGAAAGATGCCCAAAAGATATTTCATCCCAATGAAATATTACATTCATATTCATCTATTCATTATGCATGAAATTCATGATGATGATTATGATGAACATGGTAAAGGCAATTGAAACAAAGTATCAGTTATCTTAGGGATCATTGATTAGCTTTAAATTGCTGATTTTTCATTTTTTTCTAACCATTTGAATTCTTAATCTTAATTGTTTAAGTTTAAACTTTTTTTCTTGGAAAATCAATATATCACAACTAAAGTGTTTATTAAATTAACTATCTGATGGTCATCATTGGTCAGTTTATTTATTGGTTGGTGGAAAGCAAGAGTGAATGGTAAAGTCTCCCCCGAGGGAATTTATCTAAAAGGAAGATGATGAAATTGGTTAACCAG